AAAAAAGATATAGCAGCTATAATAATATAAGGGAAAATAGAATTTAAGATAAGAATATTTATAATAGATAAACAAAATGTGTTATGTCTACATAATGGAATAGTATTCAACAATAAAAAGGTATGAACTACTGATACCTGCTACAACGTGGATGAACCTTAAAAACATTATGCTCTGAAAAGAGCCAGATGCAAAAGACCTCTTGTTCTATGATACTATTTATATGAAACATCCCCAGAAAAGGCAAATCTATAGAGACTAAGTAGATTAGCGGTTGCCTAGGGCTGGAAGTGAGAAAGTGGTTTGGCTGCAAATAGGCCTGAGAAAGCTTTTGGGAGTGATGGTGATGGAAATGTTCTAAAATAGGAGTGTCGTGATGGCTCTGTAAACTTAAATTTATGGAAAACCATTGAATTTTACATTTAATATGGGCAAATTTGGGGGGAAGTGTATTTTCTGATTGTGAATTATGTGTCAATAAAGCTGTTTAAAGCATTAAACAATTTTTTTTTACTCCCTAGAAGAGTTAATGATTAATAGCATATCCAGCAAACAAATATCCTAATGATTTTTAAAATCATTAAAAATACATATCTCTAGTGATCAAATAGCTTAATATGAACATTTCACAGAAAAGGCAACTGCTTCCTGAAAAAATTGAAGGGGGTGCTCAATTTATATAAATAAGTTTATTTCGTGACTTTCCATTCAGATTGTTTGTTCTTCAAGGACAGGACTATTGCTCTCAGAGAATAAACTTAGATATACAATTAATATAATTATTAATTATTGTTTTTTCAATTAATTATTGTTTTTTGACTTCAAAGATTTATCCAACACTTGATTAAAGACCAAGTGTTATAATTTATTGGGCTTCAGTTAATTGTTAATTAATTATTAATTTAATTAATTATTAATTATTTTTTTTTGACTTCAAAGATTTATCCAACACTTGATTAAAGACCAAATGCTATAATTTATTGGGCTAAATCAGTGTAGCCCAAGATGAGGTGAAGTTTCAACTGCCCTCTAAAAGGAAGTGTTGCGAACTATATTATTGTTCAAAATATTTATTCCCTGCCCGTGACCTCATGGGAAGAATTCTCTTCCCTAACTCAATTGATGTTGGGCTTGATACTCTATGACTTGCTTTGGCCTCAGCTGAGCAGAATGTACTTCTAAACTCCTGACCTTGGGCTTGGCTATGTGATGTGCTGTGGCCAATGGGAGTTAACAGATGTGATGTAAGAGGAGGCTTAAAGTGTGATTACAAGGTTGAACTTGCCATCTTGTGCTTCTGCTATTGCCATGAGAACTTCTCCAGGGAAGGCCCACGTTCTAGGTTCTTCCTTACCAGCCACAGGGGGCCCTGGCCTTTGCTGAGAACCTGGGTGTGGTACATAGCAGCTAGACAACCTCCGGGATACCTGGAATTCTGTATCTTTTGGCTTCCCTAAAGGCAAGCCCAGGGTCAGTGCATCCTTCCCAGCGCTGGATCCATCAACCAGCCCACAGATCCGTCAGAGAAGCAAACCTCAAGAACAGTGAAGCCTGTATAAAGAGGTAATTTCACACACAGGGGTGACTCTGTGGTGGCTGGTAAGTTCCCCAATGGGATCTGTGAGCCTGAACTGAGTCGTGAGAAAGTTAAAGTCATCACTATCATCATTAGTGATGTGAGGATGGTGGGAAAGAAGGGAGCCATTGCAAGTTACTCTTTTTTTCCCAGCACTTTGTGAGGGGTCCTGTCTTCAGACCTTTGCACACACTCCCCTTTTCCATCCTCTTTCACTCGGGGAAATCCTTTACCACCTTTGAGATTCAACTCAGATATCCCCTCTTCTGAGAAGCCTTCCTTGACCCCTTTAGCCTTAATGCAGCACACTCTCCTTTATACTCCTTGGGGCTTGGCACCCATCTCGGGTTTTTGTCTTCCTCACATTGTATTATGATCATATACCTCTCTGTCATCAGCCTTAGATTAGGACTATCTTGAGAGGCTGAACTGAACTGTTGGTTCCTCTCTGTGCTCCTAGTATCATGTACAGTGACTGGCATGGGCAAAGCTTTTAATAAATATTTCATTAATGAATAAGGAATGTCTGAAAAAAGAATGAAAGAGGCCAGGCTCCAAAGGAAACTTTGAAGTTTCCTCTTACCTCATCCCTGCATCCCCTAGTTGGTCTGGGTTGCCAAACCCTTTGTGGGAATAGGTGCTGTTTCCAGCCCACTTTTAAAAAATGTTTTTATTATAGGTTGACACTTGCAATGTTGAGAGTGATTTTTCAAGATCATGGCCTTCAAGCCTAGAATTAAGTTGCAAATATGTGTCTCTGGTTGTTAGCAATGAAAAAAAGGTTGAATGGGGAGATCTTTCCATGGAAAGGACATTTGATATTGTTACAAAGAGTAGTCTTTATAACATTGCAAGGGAATATCAAGGTTTTTCAAATGTTTTACAAGGAGGCTGGGGAAGAGGGTGACCTTTAAGTCTCACCAATTCTGTCTCTATGGTTCTACTTATTGATTTGCAAAGAGACCACACTGCATTGTTCTTAGCCAAGGTAAGCACTCTAAAAAGTGCATTGATGCATATCCTGCCTCCCATATTTGTGAACTTAAGTTCATTTCATACTTCTTTCTTCTCTCTGAGCAAAAAATTTACCAAGATAAACAGATATGTGGTATATCCTGAATCCTCCTGCAACGCACGTCTTTCACAAATTTGACCTCCATTTCTCCTGGCATACAAACCTCTTTCTAGAAATATGCTTATTTTACCTGTGACTGTTCCCTGGAAAGCAGTTCTGTCCCCAGTTCAACCCAGTTCCCAGATATCCTTGGAAAATTCTTATTAATTTGTACCTGATTGAGTTGGACTGGTTTGTTTGTTTGTTTTAGCATATAGGGTTTTATTGGGCGGAGGACTGTTAAAATTTGGCCTCCCTTAGTGCACCTATTTAGGATGAGTCCAACTCTTTCTCCGTGCTCTTGCACAAACACTTAATGCAATGTGTTACAGACCCTTGTGTATATGACTGTTCCTTCCATCTCCTTGAAGGTAGAGACCAGGTATCGTTCCCCTGCTTATCCCTAGCACCTAGCCCTGGGCCTGACACCTTGAAGGCACTTGGTAAATGTCCTTTGAATGAATGAAAGAAGAGGTGAACAGTAAGTCAATGGAAGGCTGTGATTTTTAACTTTTACCATTGGAAGCCCAGCATGGCTATGTTAGCACCTGTAGCACCAGTGTTAGTAGAAGGATAAGAAGGTGGGGATGTTTGGGTAGTGTTTGAGAATTAATGGTGGTAAGGAAGATCTCTCAGATGAGGAAAGGGATGGAAGAAATTAGAAGACAGTTAAATGGGGCAGCAGAATAGAAAAGAGGAATAGCGGAAGAATCCCCATCTGTCAGACTCGGTTCTTCCTTTTTCCCTCCTCTCAGCTCCAGGTCACTGAACGTTTTGGAGTTTCTCTTTGTAGTCCTTCCCCACTTGCTCCATTTCTGGTCAGAAGAATTGCAGTTCAGGATGGGGAATTGTAAGCAGGTGAAGAACAGCAACTAAACAGCCAAGCAATTTAAAGTTGTGTCAGAAATGCCAGGCTGCATTAAAATGTCCACAGCGGGTAGACCTTCTAAATGACTAATCACCTTTCGCCCATAAAATGCAGTATGCTCTAGTGGAAACAGCCCATGAGCAGCCTGGTGTTCCGTTTTTCCAGCGTCTGCCCGGCTTGCTGCTGGGTTGATTCAGTGGGTTGGCTGGGTTAGGCTGAAGTTAAGCCAACAAGATCTTTTCAAAGTAAGTGGCATTTGGGGCCAACTACTATATGTTTCCAAAGAACAGACGATGTTGACAAAGAGATGTGACCTTAAAGGTACGTGACCCCAAAGACAGGTGACCTTGGTCTTTTGCCTGATTCTGAAAAAAATAGTCAAGAAAATGTCTGATCAAGGGTCATGTTTAAAGAAAAATTACAATTTGCCAAATTCTGTTTTTAAAACATCAGTTTCTTAAGAAACAAGGAATAAACACTGATTGTAATGCAGGTGTATTTTTGTTTAATTATGAAAACATTTTTAGGATCTCTCAAATGCCCTCCAGAATCTGGCAACTAATATTTAAAGTATACATGTTTAGGTGAAATAGTGAAATTAGAAACTTGCCTGCTGGGAAAAATGAGAGATTTTGAGCTCTTCATTTGGGTTCATGGTGATACCATCTGTATCTCTGTACCCAAGTGCTTGGCATATAGTGGGAGTTCATAAACATTTGGTGCATAAACAGAAACTGAAAGCCAATTGTATTATGCAATCCTGCTCTGCTGGTTTGTTATAGCTAATAGGACATCAGCATCTGTATTTCTTTTGCTATAAAAGTAGGTAAAGTGAGACCTAATAAAAGTGTTAGGCACACTTATTTTAAACCACCTAGTCTCAAGGCTTGTCATTAACAATACATCTGTTTTATTAGAAATACTTATATGTGCATGTGTGTGCCTGTGTGTGTGTGTGTGTGTGTATGTGTTTGCAGAAAAACCTTCCAATGTAACAAAAGCAGTTTTCTAAAAATTGACTATCTTTTGTAATCAGTAATTCATGCAGTCGTAGTTATTGCAAATGGGCAAACAGCTCCAAGATTCTGTAAGGTCACAGTGATTTGAACTAAATTAATAATGGTGTCATTCTGTATTTTTCCTGATTGCCAAGTCATATGTTTTTTTATTGCACAAAATGAAAAAGGAGAAAGAAATGAAAACTCAGAGTTGTCACTATGAATACATTTCTAGAGTATTTTCAGTGTGAGGATGCATAAAAGACAGAATTCTAAGATGGCCCCCATGATTTCCACCCTCTGAGGTTATGCCTACGATTAGGTTACATGGCAAAAGAGATTTTACTTAAGTTACTAATCAGTTGACCTTAAGATAAGGAGATTATTCAGGTGGGCCTAACCTAATCATTTGAACCCTTTGAAAGCAATTTTTTCTCTGGCTAGTTGGAAAAGCAGAGGTCAGAGATTCAAAGCATGAGAAGAATTCAACATAGCATCGCTGGCTGGAAGATGGAGGGAGCCACAAGCTGAAGAATGTGAGTGACCTCTAGGAGTTAGAGTGAGTCCCAGCCAACAGCCAGCAAGTGCATGGAGACCTCAGCCCTACAATCAGAAAGAACTGGATTCTGCCAGCAACCTTAATGAACTTGGAAGAAAATTCTTATTCAGAGCCTCCAGTTTGGCCAGTGCCTTGATTCAGCCTTTGAGATCCCAAGCAGAGGACCTAGGTAAGATACGTCAAACTTCTGACTCACAGAAACTGTCAGGTACAGGCTTTCCCCGGACATATTATAGGTTTGGTTCCAGACCACTGCAATAAAGAGAATATCGCAATAAAGCAAGTCACACAGATTTTTTTGTTTCTCATTGCATATAAAAGTTATGTTTATACTATACTGTGGCCCATTAAGAATGCAGTGACATGTCTAAAAAACAATGTACATATCTTAACTAAAATATAATGCTGTTGGGAAAATGGCGCCGATAGAGTCGCTTGATACCTGGTTAGCACAAATCTTCATTTTGTATAAAACACAGTATCTGTGAAGTGCAGTAAAGTGAAGCACAATAAAACAGATATGTCTGTAATAAGTATGGGTTGTTTACAGTTGCTAAGTTTGTGGTAAGTTGTTGTGTAGCAATAGAAGACTAATACAGATTTTGGTATTTAGAAGCGGGGTCCTGCCCCACAGTAACAGATACCTAGTGTGGAAGTAGCTTTGGAATTAGGCAGTGGCTGGAGGCTAGAAGAAGTTTGAGGAACATGATAAAAGAAACCCAAACTGCCTTGAACAGGCTGTTTGCAGAAATATGGACATTAAAGATTCAGCTGGTGAAAACTCAGAAAGAAGTGAGAAGCATTATAGAGAAAACTTAGATTTTCTCTGAGAAAGCCTAAATCACCATGAACAGACTGTTCTTAGAAATCTGGACTTTAAGAACAATGCTGGTGAGGACTCAGAAGGAGGTGGGAAACATGTTATTGGAACAGGAGGAAGGAGAATCCTTCTTGTGTGGTGGCAGAAACCTTAGAAAAATTGTGACCTGCAGTTATGTCAAAAGCAGAATGTGTAAATGACAAACTTAGATATACATCTCAGGAGTTTTCCAAGCAAAGTGTTAAAGGTGCTGGTTTGTCTCTCCTTACGGCTTATACTAAAATGTGAAAAAGAAATAATTTTAGGGAAAATCTGGTAAACATAAAGAGATGAGGACTGGATAATCTTGAAAATTCTCAGGGTTTTCAGGTGGTAAAAGATGCTAAATGTCAGAAATGACTTCTGAAAGCATGACATAGAGGAAAGAAGGACTCCGTGTCTATACAGGTCTTTACTAAAACAACAGAAAGACCAACAGGTCAAAGTATTCAATCATACAAAAGCCTCTTCTAAGAGATTAAGAGTGTGATGCACAGATCCCATTAATCAAACCAGAGGGTCTCTCGGAAGCTTAGGGGTGTATCCCTTAGCCATCTCTGCAGAAGCCAAAGATAGAGAGGAGACCTTCTCAAAAAGATATGTGGGTATGACTCTTGTCTAATGGAGCAAAACCCTGTGAAATTAATGCAAGGACAATAGAATAGGTTGAACAGTTTCCCCCCCAAATTCATGTCTACCTGGAACCTATGAATGTAACATTATTTGGAAGTAGGGTGTATGGACATATAATCAAGTTAAGATGAGGTCATACTGGATTAGAGGGGACCCTAATCTGTTGACTGATGTCCTTATAAGAAGAGGGAAATTTGGATAGTATTCTAAGTATTCTGGCAGTATTTTAAGATGGCCCCTTGATCTCTGTCCTCTCGTGTTACTCTCTGATTATATGATTTTACGTAAGAAAAGGGATTTTACAGATGAAATTAAAGTTACTAATTGGTTGTCCCTAAGAGAGCGAGGGTAGGACTTCCCTGGTGGTCCAGTGGGTAAGACTCCACACTCCCAATGCAGGGGCCTCGGGTTTGACCCCTGGTCAGGGAACTAGATCCCACATGCATGCCGCAACTAAGAGCTTGCATGCAACAACTAAGAAGTCCTCATGCTGAAACTATGAGCCCACATGCCACAACTAAAAAAGATCCCCCATGCCACAACGAAGATCCCGCCTGCTGCAACGAAGACCTGGCACAACCAAAATGAATAAATAAAATAAATATTTACGAGAGCAAGGTAGACTTGTTCTAATCACATGAACCCTTTAACTCAATAGAGTTTTTCTCTGGTTGGAAAAGCAGAAGTCAGAATTCAACATGTAATTGCTGGCTTGAAGACGGAGGGAGCCACAAGCTGAGGAATGTGAGCAAGAGTGACACTTGGTCAACAGCCCCCAGTGAGAGGATGGAGACTTTAGCCCCACAATCACAAGACCTGGATTCTGCCAGCAACAGGAATGGTCTTGGGAGCATATTCTTCCCGCCGAATCTCCTGAGGAGAGCTCAGCTCAGCTGACCTCTTGATTTTAGTCAACCTTTGAGACCCTCAGCAAAGGGCCCAGTTCAAGTGTATTGGACATCTGACTCCTGAAAACTGTGAGATAATACATTTGTGTTATTTACAGTTGTAAGTTTGTGGTAATCTGTTATGCAGCAATAGAAAACCAATGTGTGTGTGTGTGTGTGTGTGTGTGTGCGCACGCACATGCATGTGCATGCATTCTCTTAAGCAAAAGAGATTACATTTTTACCAAACAACATAGAATCAGTCTAGCCAGAGGTTTATAGAACAATTTGGTAGGTCAGTGATGAAATGAATTTTATGGTACACATATGATTCTAATAATTTTTTAAAAGCCCTTAATAAAAAGAGATAGCTCTAGGTTTAAGCTTCTTCTTGCTTTATGCTTCTGGGAGATTCTGTGAGGAATATACCTGGGTAGTAAGTACTCTCAGAGAGTTGAGATCTCAATCAAACAAAATCATTCCAATAAATTATTGAGAATCTTGCATGCATCACTAGACACTGGGCTCAGCACTGGGGATTGAATGATAAATATTTCTTGCCCTCCAGGGGGCTTATGTTGGATAGGTGTAACAGTCAAGTAACTATATAATCGCAATATAATGTGTTAACTACTATAATTGGGTAATACAGGAGCACATATGAAGATGACCTAATCCAAACATGAGAGGGGGATGGTGATGGTCTTCAGTACTTGTGGCTCACGGGCTTTAAAACATAGGCCCAGTAGTTGTGGCACACGGGCTTAGTTGCTCCACGGCATGTGGGATCTTCCCAGACCAGGGCTTGAACCCGTGTCCCCTGCATTGACATGCGGATTCTTAACCACTGTGCCACAAGGGAAGCCCTAGTGGGAAAAACCATTAGAAGTATTATGCATAGCAAGGATGTTATCGAACTTTCCCTTCAGAAAAATCTGAAGGATTTTTGTAGGGAGAAGATTGAATTGCATCTTTGAGATGAATTGTAGGGAAAAGATCAAATTGCAGGGACATCAGACCAAATTCTCCCAGGTTAGAGATACCTGAACTGAGTGATGGTGGGAATGAAGAGGATGATATGGCCTTGAGAGGTAATAGGGATGAGAGCAACATGTGTTTGTTTGCACCTGGACTGTGAGGAAGGAGAAGAACAAAGGTTAATGTCCAGGTATTTGGCTTGTGAGGCTGGGTAACTAGTTGCATCAGTCAAAAAGATGGGAACCGAGAGGAAGAGCAGTTTGGGGGAGGAGCTTAGCTCAGTTTTGGACATGTTGAGTGTGAGATATGTGTGGGATACCAAGGGGAAATGTTAAGTAGGAAGTAGCTAATATTGTTCTACAAGTCAGGAGAAAAATCTGGTCTGGATAGAGGTTTGGACAAGTAGGTGCAATGAAATTACTGTTGGGAAAGGGATTGAAACTGTCGGCAAGAGAGTGGTTGCAATGATAAAATCTAGGCTATTTATCTGTAAAATGGGGATAACATCTGTATAAGGTATTCAGGCTGGAGGTCTGGCAAACTCTAATACATAAATGTATGGATGTTATAAGAGCAAAGGAAACATTTTAAGCAAAGGATGCCCAGATTATCTCACCGAATATATGTGAAGTAAGTGTAACATCTTGTTTCCCTAGTTCTTCACAGAACTGCCTACTTTGGTGGTGATGATGTTTCACCTGTCTAGGATGAGATCCTGCCAGGTTGCAGGAAGCCCTGAGGGGGAGCTTACCAAGCCTCTTATATTCCATAATATGTCACACCCAAACTCTAGTATAATTTCTTTATAAGGCTGAAAAAACTTCCTTTGGCAAGTCCCGTTACCTGTATCTAAACAACATAGGTTCCAGGTATAATTCTACTAAGCCATAGTGCCATCCTGCTACATTGTCCTAGGTTTTAGAGTGACGGCTGTGCATCTCTTGTGTGCAGTTACATTGTAATGATGAGCAGTGTATATGTGTTCAGTTCGAGACCTAGAGAGGGCTCAGAATGGAAGGCTTGACTAAGGCCCTTTACACCTAGTCCACAGAGTAGTCCTGAGAATTAAATGATGTAAGGCACGAAAATGCTTAATACAGTGCTTGGAATAAACTAAGAACTCAATAAATGCTAGTCATTGTTGTTAATTGCTATTACTTACTTGTTATTGTAATTACTACTGTTGTAGTAACTATATTATTGAAGAAGTGGTGAAGACAAGAGGGGATGCTTTGAGAGGAATCAGAGGGTATCTGGAAGTCATGATGAAGTTGAAGAAATAATACTGTGGCAGTAATTGAATGAGAGAGATGGAAGGAAGTCTGCAGTGAGTGGAGAGTTTGAATTTAAGCCTTAAGAGATGGAATAGGAGCATAGGTAGCAATCCAGGATGGACGTGGGAGTGAGTGATGTGACATGAGAGATGGGGGAGGGAGATGTGAGGTGAAGGTCATTAGCGCTCAGAAGGTCAAAGAAGTCACAGACTGAGGAATCCAGGGGGTCATCCATGTGATTATGGGACTCCTGGGGTGGATGACAGCATGCCTTGGATTAGAGGAGGCAAGTGTGAGTTAAGTGCTAACAACTTTAATAAAAGAAGGAAATACCTGAATTTGGTTGGTGGGATTCCCATGCCTGAAATTGTCTCTGGATCCTGTGGTTTTAGCAGAGCTCTTACATGTACTATTTATACCATTGACAGAGTTTTCTTTATCCCCTGACTTCTATTGAGCCAGTTACCAGAGAGCTGCTGGGATAGCGTATTTAGGCCTGAACTGGCTGTTTGGAATACATATGATGTACTATCCCCAT